GCTGACCAGGCCCCCACGCGCCAACCAGGCAAGGAGAATGGGCTCTCCTTGCCCATTCTCCTTGTCCGTCCCAGCCTTTTCCACGGCAAGGAGCAGGCACTCCCCGGGCTGTTCGGTGGAGAATGTGTTGGAATGAGGGCCTTGCCACAGCTGCCTGGAAATTCCTCGGGAGTCGAAGAGGCCCCGCGGCCCCAGGCCTGAGCAGCAGGAGCCACTGGGACTCCGGCGCCTGTCTGGACTTGTTCGCTGCTTTGTGGCTGTAATGGGCCTGGCTTCTGGGCTGGTTCTTTTTCTAAAGTTTTTCCTATTTTTGAGACAGGCTCTCACTGTGTCGGAGTGCAGTGGCAGAATCAACTCTGCAGCCTTGGGCACCTGCCTGGGCTCAAGCCGTCCTGCCTCAGTGTGCCACAGAGCTGGGCCTGTGGGCACACAGGCTAGCCTTGCCCTCACAGCTCCTGCTTCCCAGGACCTGTAGCGCCGAACCCGAACCTGTAGCGCCGGGTTCGTTCTTCAGGGAGTCTGACAGGCCTGTCTTTAGTGCACAGCTCGTCATCGGTGGCTGTAGAGGCAGGGGTGGTGGTGCTGGCCTAGACGGGGCGGGGCTGGCGTGGGCAGTGGGAGGGGCATGTGGGGTATCCATACCATGGGCCACAGCAGTGCTCATGCCGGCAGGACGCGGGAGGACACGGTGCGGCAGATCGTGGCCGGGCTGACGGGGGACTCGGACGGGACGGGGGACTTGGCCATTGAGCTGTCCAAGACTGACCCAGCAAGCCTGGAGACGGGCCAGGACAGTGAGGATGACTCGGGCGAGCCTGAGGACTGGGTCCCAGACCCCGTGGACGCTGATCCAGGTTAGCTTGCCCCACAGCATCCATTTCGCCAATGGATGGAGGCTTCGGCTAGGCCAGCCACTCTGGGCTCCTCTCTGGCCGCATAGCTTGGTTGTGTCACGTGTGGCCAGTGCCCCAGAGGCTTGAAGGGGTCCAAGGTCAGGGCAGTGCTCCACCCCCGCCGGCCTGGGCAGGCCCAGGGTGGGCTATGTCCCTCTGTGGCTGGTCACTCTAGCCATGGGAGGTGCCCTTCCTTCCGCCCCTTGTGAGCTGTGGGGTGTCCCCTGCCCCGCCATGACATCTGGCAGAGGAGTGAAGGAAAACGTGCATGGCCCCTGCACCCGCTGCTGGTGTGGGCCTCAGAGTCCCGTTAGGTGACAGCTACTGCTCAGGGCCCATCTGTCCCTGGCCGCAGTGTGCGGAGCTCTGAGAGTTGTGGGACCCCTGCCTGGCCCCAGCCCTGGCCCAGATGGTAAGTCTTCACTGTCTTTAGTCTTCCTCAGAGGAAAACCCCAGAACCTGTGGCTTGTACCCTAAGCCTACTTGAGGGTCCGGGGAGGTCCCTGTGAGACGGGAGGGGCTGGGGATCGAAGCTGCTGCCCTAGGATGCGACTCCTGGTCTCCTGGGAGGTGCCGGGCTGCTCCCAGCCTCGAGGGCCTTCAGGAAAAGCCATGCTGGGCTATGCCTCGGGCATGGTGGGATGGGAGGGGGGTGCCCTATCCTTGCCAAGGTGCCTATCAGGTGACACCCCTGCCCCCGCTGTGCCAGGGAAGTCCAGCTCCAAGCGGCGCTCCTCAGACATTATCAGCCTGCTGGTCAGCATCTACGGCAGCAAGGACCTGTTCATCAATGAGTACCGCTCGCTGCTGGCCGACCGCCTACTGCACCAGCTCAGCTTCAGCCCGGAGCGGTGAGGCCAGGGAGGCGCCAGCCGTCTCCAGGGGTGCTGGGGCCCTTGCTGAGCCTGTCAGGACAGGGCCTGGGCCTGGTCGGACTGTGTGCCACCCCCACTCCTGGCTGGGGCTGAGCTGGCCGCCGGGGTGCCACGCAGGCCCCCTGCTCTGCCCGGGAGGTGCACCCATGACTGCTACAGGTGCTGCTTGGGACTGCAGCCCCTGCGACCCCCGCCCAGACACTGGTTCGTCTCTCCAGGGAGATCCGCAACGTAGAACTGCTGAAGCTGCGCTTTGGCGAGGCCCCGATGCACTTCTGCGAGGTCATGCTGAAGGTGGGTCCCGCCTCGCCCACCGCCCGCCACCCCCAGGCCCCCGTGACACCAGCTCCTCCCTCAGGATATGGCGGACTCCCGCCGCATCAATGCCAACATCCGGGAGGAGGACGAGAAGCGGCCGGTGGAGGAGCAGCCGCCATTCGGGGTCTATGCTGTCATCCTGTCCAGTGAGTTCTGGCCGCCCTTCAAGGATGAGAAGCTGGAGGTCCCTGAGGACATCAGGGCAGCCCTGGAGGCTTACTGCAAGAAGTACGAGCAGCTCAAGGTACCTCCAAGCCAGCCACCCCACAGGGCTCTCTGCACCTCACCCTGTGCTGCGGGCTCAGCAGCCTGGTGCCTATGGCCACCCCATTGTCTCCCGAGTGTCTAGGGTTGGTTATGTCTCACAGCCATCCCTGCAGGAGATGGAGTGGGCCCAGTCCACACTCCCTCTGCCTTCCTCACAGTGAGCCTGTGCCCCCTGTGAGCCAGCGTCCCTCGGCCCCACAGGTGCTCGGGTGGGCTGTGCTAGGCCCACATCTCCTGTGCTGCTTCACGGGGACTCCCGTGGCTCCAGCAGGCCGCACCCACTGAGCATTTCCTCCTCTTCTGCCATCTGCCCTCTGCCTCTCAGAACCAGGACTTGGGGTGCCTTGTGTCACTGCAGGTGAGGGCCAGGGAGCCAGGGCCACCCTCTGCCCAGGGCAGCGCTCCCAAGCGCACCTGACCCTGGGGCCCCAGCCCTGCCCCTGTTTCTAGATATTTCCCGGAGAACTGCATTTGCAGGTTCCCATGGTGCTTGAGGACCAGGGCTGTGGGACTGTGGTGGGAGTCGGGGGGAAGCAGACGTGGGGACTGGAGGAGCGAGCCCTGGCCTGGAGGTGCTGGCAAGTGGGGCCAGCGTGCCCAGAGTGGTGGTATCGGCCGTATTTGGCTCACGTCTCCTGGCAGCACCACCAATCCCAGCAGTCCCAGAACAGGTATCCAGGGCCCTGGGTATGGGACCACGCTTGGAGGTTTTTTCCCTGAGCTCATGTTCAGGTGAGATGTTTTGGGTCGAGGGAAGAGGTTAGGACCCCTGTGCAGCCAGGTCCCAGGGCTTTCAGTCTGGTGTGTGGGGCCCGTGAGGCCTCCGGTGTGCCCAGCGAATGCTCAGGCCTGGGGGGAGCTGAGCACCCCAGCAGGGGACACGTGAGGAGAGGGTCCTGGGGCAAAGCTGGTTTCCAGGCTGCAGACCCCAACCCCAGGAGGGAGATGGGCCAGCCGCAGCCTGGGCCAAGGCCGGCAGGTGGGGCTGAGTTCAAAGGAGGGTCCCCAGCTTCTCCAGGCCTGCTGTGACAGACGCTGGGTCTAGATGTGTTTCCTTTTTTTATCTGCCAAGTGAGAGGGCCTTGCTGTGTTGACAGACTAAGGAAGCTTATTCCTAGGGGAGGGCAAGGTGATGAGTCCACTTTAGAAACTAAGGGGGAAGTTGCAGAGACAGACAAGGGGAGGGCCAGGTAGAGGCACCCGGGGCAGGAGGCGGAGGTTGGGCCAGGCTGCTGATCTTGGTGGCGAGTGCCTGCTGCCTCCCTCCAGGCCTCAGCTTGGCTCTGGAAGAGTCCAGGTATCCCCCGCAGCTTGCCTGCCCCGGTGGAAAGGAGGGCCCTGGCCATCCCCCCACCTCCAGCTCCAGCCTGTGTCTCCAGAGTCTGCGGGCACCGAGCCTCCCCCGCCCCCTGCCCCCCGCCCTGCCATGTTCTGGTACAAGTCATTGGTGTGGCCGGGCTCCATGCACAGTCCCTCTCCCATTGACCCTCTGGCTGCCTCAGGCTCTCCAGTGCTGTTTCTGGGCGAGGCTCCCCTGGCCTCCCTCCAGGGTCCCCCTGGGATCCCAAGTGTGGCTCAGCCACTTCCCATTCCTCGGGCCTGACGTCCTGGGGCAGCCATACTCCAGTGCCCTTTGTCTTCACTTCACGGGATACAGGATGGCTCAGGAAGGTGCCGGGCTGTGCTGAGAGGTCCCACTAGCAGAGCTCCTGGCCTAGGGGCCTCGCTGGGCACATGGCTGGCATGCAGCCCTTTGCATCTGTACCTTAGGCACTTTGCTGGGCATGTGCTGGCATGTAGCCCTCAGCATCTGCACCTGAGCTCACTGGGCACATGGCTGGCATGCAGCCCTCAGCATCTGCACCTGAGCTTGTTGCTCCTGAGCCCTTCTTCCATTCTGGTGCAGGCTGATGAGTGGTGTTCGTGGAGGTCACGGCCCTGGAGCCAGAGCCAGGACCAAGGCCAACCACTGACTCCACCTCTATCTTCTGTCCGTAAAGTGGGGTTCGTTTCCTTTAAGAGCTGCCAGATTGGCCTGGCGGGGTGGCTCACGCCTGTAATCCCAGCACTTTGGGAGGCCAAGGCGGGTGGATCACGAGGTCAAGAGATCGAGACAATCCTGGTCAACATGGTGAAACCCCGTCTCTACTAAAAATACAAAAAATTAGCTGGGCATGGTGGCGCGTGCCTGTAATCCCAGCTACTTGAGAGGCTGAGGCAGGAGAATTGCCTGAACCCAGGAGGCGGAGGTTGCAGTGAGCCAAGATCGCACCATTGCACTCCAGCCTGGGTAACAAGAGCGAAACTCCGTCTCAAAAAAAAAAAAAGAGTTGCCAGATCCTGGAAGGGCTTAGGAGCCTGTGGCCCACAGAGCAGGCGTGTCAGTGCCCTGGTGCCACCAGAACAAAGTGCCACAAACCAAGGGGCTTAAAAGACCAGAAATGTATCATCTTATAGAGGTCAGGGTGAGCAGGGCCCTCTGGAGGCCCTAGGGGAAGGCTGCTTCCTTGCCTCTACCAGCTCTCTGGGGGCTGCAGGAGCTCCGGGGCTTGTGGATGGCTCGGTCCAGTCTCTGCTGCGTCGCCCGGAGTGTTCCCCTGTTCTGTTTGTATCCCCCTCTTGGACACTCACTCTACTCCAGGGTGACTTCATCTTAATTATATCTTTAATGACCATATTTTCAAATAAGATCACATCCGGGGTTCAGGGAGTTAGCAGTTCATGTGTCTTTTTTGGAGGGGCACATAACAACAATCTGCCCCATGGTGGGCCCTCCCACATGCAAGTTACAATTATACCCAGTATTCCCAAAAGTCCTCACCATTTCAGCCTCAAGTCCAAGTCCAAAATCTCATCTAAATACCATCCACACGAAGTCCCACATCTCAGCATGTAAATAGCAACTAAATGAGGTCCAGGTGAGACTTGGGGTGTGTCCGTTCCTTTCCAGCTTGGATGCTGTGAAATCAGGCAGCAGATGCTCTCTTTCAAAAATTCAACGGTAAGACAAGCATAGAATGTCTCTTCCCACCCCAATAGGGAAAACTGGAAGGAAACAGGGTGGCAGGTCACCCCAAGTCCAAACCCAGCAGCCAAATTCAATTTGATGCCACGGCCTGCGAATCCTGGGCTCAGTGCTCCACCCTTGGCCTGCGGGGTCAGCCCCACCCCGTCAGCCTTGGCCTCTGCGTCGGCGGCTCTGCTCTTGGAGCCTGCCTGCCTCTCAGTCCAGCCTGGCAGCATTTCTGCTGGTAAAGTTCTCACAAACCTCGTTGGTTTCTCTCTTGTGCAGTTCACCAGTGTCCAGGCCCCCTGCGGCCCTTACCTGGAGCCCCACCTGCCCGTCTCCTGCTGAGACGGTTGGATGTGCAAATCACACCTCATCTCTTGCAAATCCTGGTCCAGCCACAGCTTTAGCTGTGTCTCAGAGCTGCCTGGATCATCAGAGCATTTTTCAAATCTCCAAGGGCTGGTGCCTTTTTGCTTAATGTTTCCGTCCTCACTGATTTTTCCCTCTTGCATTCTGCTATTAAGTGGCAAGGAGAAGCCAGGCCTCACCTTCCACGCTGCCTGTAAATCTCAGCTGAGCCTTCAGGCTCATCAACTGCAGCCCCACTTTCCATCCAGCAGCAGAGCACCAGCCCGCCAGGCTCTCTGCTGCCTCCTCCGGCCACAGCAGCGCGCTCACTCTGCCCTAGACCTTACTAGAAGCACCTGTTAGGGGGTCCATTCCTGGTGTCACGTTTCAGCAGCGCCCTTCCTGGTAGCAAAATCTGTTTATTTCTTGTGGCTGCTGTAGCAAAGTGTCACAAACTGGGTGGCTTTAAAAAAACAGAAATAAACTGCCTTGGTTCTGGAGGCTGGAAGTCAAGATTAAGGTATTGGCAGGGCCCTACTCCCCCAGAAACCTCTTAAGAGATTGTTGCCCTCCAGCTTCTGGCTTTTGCCACAGCCCTTGGTGTTTTCTGGCTTGTGGCCGCGTGGCTCGTCGGCCTCTGTCCTCATGTGACCCCTCCCGCCGCCCGTGTCTTCCGTCATCCATCCTTTCCTTAGAAGGACTCCAGTCAAGCCGGGCATGGTGGTTCAAGGCTGTAATCCCAGCACTTTGGGAGGCCGAGGTGGGTGGATCACGAGGTCAAGAAATTGAGACCATCCTGGTCAACATGGTGAAACCCCATCTCTACTAAAAATACAAAAAATTAGCTGGGCATGGTGGCGCATGCTTGTAACCCCAGCTACTCAGGAGGCTGAGGCAGGAGAATTGCCTGAACCCAGGAGGCGGAGGTCGCGGTGAGCCGAGATCGCGCCATTGCACTCCAGCCTGGGTAACGATCGAAACTCCGTCTCAAAAAAAAAAAAAAAAAAAAAAAAAAAGGACGCCAGTCAGTTGGATTAGGCTGCACCCACGCCAGTGTGACCTTGTCCACTGTTTGCCAGTGCAGCCACGTTTCCAAGCACGGGGGGGTTAGGATGCACAAAAAGCTTTTCCGGGACACATCTTGTGACACTGGCCCCGTTGCTGTTTTGTGGTAGCTGAGCAGGTGGGGCCCACCCAGTCCTGTGCTCCCGCTGCTCACCTGTCTGCCGGGGGCAGGGTGGGGCAGGCAGCTCTGAGAGCCCTTCGTCACCCGGTTCCACATGGCAGAGCCCATGAGCCTCGGCCCCCTGCAGCCGAGCCACCCACACTGACCCCAGCCCTCCTTAGGCCATGCGGACCCTCAGCTGGAAGCACACTCTGGGCCTGGTGACCATGGACGTGGAGCTGGCTGACCGTACACTGTCTGTGGCAGTCACCCCGGTACAGGCGGTGGTTCTGCTGTACTTTCAGGACCAAGGTGAGTCCACCGGCCCCCAGCTGGTCTGCTCTGGCCCCACGGCCCTGCCATGGGTGAGGGGTTGCTCCCCAGTGAGGGTGTGGTTTGGGGCAGCCAAGCCAGCAGGCAGCACCCTTACTTTTCCCACGGGCAAGGTGGGGGGGGTCTGGGCCTCCGACCTCTGGGCTGACAGGAGGCAGGGGAGGGGCAGCCCATCTGCAGGCTGCCCAGGGTCTTGGTCACTCTTCATGCAGCCAGCTGGACCCTTGAGGAGCTGAGCAAGGCGGTGAAGATGCCCGTGGCACTGCTGCGGCGGAGGATGTCTGTGTGGCTACAGCAGGGTGTGCTGCGAGAGGAGCCCCCTGGCACCTTCTCTGTCATCGAGGAGGAGCGGCCTCAGGACCGGGACAGCATGGTCCTCATCGACAGTGATGACGAGAGCGACTCGGGCATGGCCTCCCAGGCAGACCAGAAGGAGGAGGAGCTGCTGGTGCGCGTGCGGGGCCCATGGGTGGGGTGGTGGGGGTGCGGCGGGGTGGGGTGAAGGCCTGCTTGTGCCTAGCAGCAGCCCCAGTGGGCACCTGACGGGGGCTGGCCGGTGTGTGCAGCTCTTCTGGACCTACATCCAGGCCATGCTGACCAACCTGGAGAGCCTCTCGCTGGAACGCATCTACAACATGCTGCGCATGTTTGTGGTGACCGGGCCTGCGCTGGCTGAGATCGACCTGCAGGAGCTGCAGGGCTACCTGCAGAAGAAGGTGCGGGACCAGCAGCTCGTCTACTCGGCCGGCGTCTACCGCCTGCCCAAGAACTGCGGCTGACGCGCCTGCCCACCTGCCCATCCATCCGCCGCCCAGCCCTGCCCTGCAGGTGCTCTCCTCCTGTGCCAGCCCCCACCCACGTGTGTCCCAGAAGGCACCGCACAGGGGCACCCCATCCTCACCCCACAGTGTGCAGATTAAAGCAGTAAGGTCATCCTTTCCTGTCCTGGTGGCTTTGTGGGGCTCTTGGGGTCTCCCGCTAGCCTGGGCCTTTCTACCTCAGCCTGGCAGGGTCTGCTCCCCGGCAGCAAGTGAGGGGCCCACCCAGGCCTGCACATCTGCAGCAGGAATGTGGCCTCCTGAGAGTATCCTGGGCTACCCCCGGCTCAGGCAGGAAGCGGTGCATGAAGGCTCACGTCACGCCTGGGCCACAGCTCAGGCAGCCACGTCCTACCCAGGGCTTGGTGCCACTTGCCGGACCTCCAGCTCCACCCTGCGCCCGTGGCCTTTGGAAGGAGTCCTGGGGTTGCCCTCTGCTCAGCTGGTGCCCACTCACGTGCCAGGCTGTGAGGCTGGGGGTATGGGGAGAGGCTGGGGTGTGGGGCGAGGCTGGGGGTCTGGGGCTTGGCTGGGGTGTTGTGTGGGTTCTGTTGGAACTGCTGGGCTTGTGGATGACCCCTTGGCCAGCGTTCCTCCTCTCCGGCAGCAAGGCTCTGCTCCAGGGCCTGCCCTGCTGGCTGGGTATTTGTCCCCTGCTCCACACTCGGGCAGGGTGGCCGCAGCACTCAGGCTCACAAGTGTGCCTCGGAAGGCAGATCACCCACCCCTGTGATCCCCACACGTGCTACCATGCATGAGCAGGCTGCCCAGGTCCCATCCAAGAGGCTGCACTGGGAGAGGGAGATGCCATCAGGCTGAGCGAGGGCCCTAGGGTCTAGCTCTGGGCTCTTCTGCTGCTAAAGCCCGGGCCTCTGTCCTAGAGGGGCTGTTCCCAGGCCAGCCACATTCCACCCCACGGCACCATCCTTGCAGGGGATAAAGGCGGTATAAAACTGGTGCCTCAAGTCCCACTCCTGCTGCAGCACCTTCCCAGGCTGTGAGCTGCACCTGGTTTCACCTTCCCCCTGCTGTCCCTAGATGCCCTTGCTGGTGCCTACATGTCCACTGTCCTGGGTTCCTTTAGGCACTGCCCAGAGCCCTCCCCAACTCTCCAGCTCTGGCCTGTTTGAGCCATTCGGCTCCATTTCTGCACCCTCCTTGCTCTAAAGAACTCTGCCTCAGGGCTTGAAGGAGGAAGTGACCAGCATTAGGCAGGCGCTAGATGCACAGTCCCTGACCGTCGGCCCCTGACCATCAGGCCCTGACTTGACCATCCGGCCCCTGAGCGTCGGCCCCTGACCCTCAGCCCCTGACCCTCAGCTCCTGACCCTCAGCCCCTGACCGTCAGGCCCTGACTCTCGGCCCCTGTCAGTCCCTAACCCTCAGCCTCTGACCCTCAGCCCCTGTCAGCCCCTGACCCTCAGCCTCTGACCATCAGGCCCCTAAGTGTCGGCCCCATCAGATCCCTGAGCATCGGCCCCTGAGCTTTGGCCCCTGACCGTTGGCCTCCGACTGTCAGCTTCTGACCATCAGGCCTCTGCCCTGCCAAGGAGGGCTGGTTCTGCTGGTGCGGTACCTCCCCTCTCTCCCTGGTCCCTACTACCAAGGTGCTCCACTTCATTCCTAGGCTGTCTCACAAAAAGAGGGGCCCTTTCTCCTGAATTGTTATGGGGGGCCCACTTCTCTAACCCCCACTGTCCCATCAGGCGATGGCCTGGCTTGGATCCCACTGTCCATGGCTAGCACGTGGCCCCAGGCTGGGTGTGCCAGTGTCCTACCCAGGATATAAACCTGCTGGGCTGGCCTGTTGGGTGTCACTGCCAGCTTGGCTCAGACACACCTTTGTTCTGTGTCTTGTGGATTCCATCTCTGGATGTGTCCTGAAGACAAGGGCGATGGGGACACCTCAGGTCACAGCGTCACTCAGCAAGTCAGAAGTTAGAGGACCCCAGCAGGAGGGCGCCTGACAACAGGTGAGTGGGTCCCTGGTGACCAGGGCCACTGGGGGCAAGCTGTGCCCCCCTGCCACCTATGCCCTATGGGTCCTAAGCTGGCAGGAGGCCCAGCCTCAGTTGGTTGTGGGGCAGGTGTTTCCTTCTGCTGCCTGGCGGTTTGTTTGGCAGGTCCTGAGGAGGGAAGGCTGGGAGGGCAGGGGCCTCTCCCAGCCTGGAACAGTAGGTTCAGGGAGGAGGCTGAGCTTAACCTTGGCCATGCCAGCCTGCAGTCCACTTCCTTGGGCAATGCTTGCCTGTTCTGCAGAGGGAACAATTTCAGTGACACCTTTAGTCTAGAGCCTTGTATGGGGGACACTGCGGGAAGCATGGCTTGGGGTCCTGCTCAGACAGTGGTAGCCAGGGTCCCCCAGACCTTTCCAAGTTGATGGGGGAACCCCTTGGGTGCCAGCAGCCCTTCTGACCAGAGCTTTGCCAGGAGCATGAGCCAGACCCTCCCAGAAGCAGTGGGGAGGGAGGCTGGGTGTAGGCCCATCCCCTGAGCCCTCCTTGGTCCCGTCCTGCCCTGGCCCTGGAGGAAGGTGACCTGCAGCCAGCTGGAGCCCAGCCCCACACTGAGCTGCGGAAACCCTTAAGCTGGGAGGGAGCTGAGGCTGAGGCTACCTGCTGCCAGCCCCCCAAGGTTGCCAGGTCACTGCACCCACACAGGGCCTGCAGTGCTGCCCTATCCGTTTTACTGTGAGGGACTGCCCCTCAGGCCAGGCCAGCTCCACTGCTGCCTCTGCCTCAGAGCTGGCCCAAGCTGGCCGGGCTCTCCAGCACCTGTCCACCCTATCTGTCCCATTCCCAGGGCAGGCTGTCCATGGCTCCCAGAATCTCAGTGCCCAGGGGCAACTGAAACATTGGCTTCAGGCACCATGAGGCCTTGCCCCCCTCACAGTCCCACTGTGAGGTCAGCACCTTCCAACAGTTCCGTCAGAGGTGGGCAGTGCGGCCAGGGCTGGACATGGCCCCTGGTCTCTGGCCTCAGTCCTGCCTGTGTGGCAGCCCCCTGGGCCTCACATGCTTCTCCCTTCTACTCATCCCTGCTGCAGGTACCACCTCCTGCCCCCGAACCCTGCATCCAGCCAGGGTTTCTCTTTCCCAGGCAAGGCAGGAGCACTGGTGTCCTTCTGGGGGCTACCAGGGCAGGGGCAGACCTGGAGTCCCTCCACAGGCAGGTGACCGGCCACACGGCCATATGGCCCTGTCTCTGCAGCTGGAACCTACTGTGAATGCAGCCTTGGCCTCAGCCGAGAGGCCCTCATCGCCCTCCTTGTGGTGCTGGCGGGCATCGGTGCCAGCTGCTTCTGCGCCCTCGTCATCGTGGCAATTGGCGTCTTGCGGGCCAAGGGGTGCGTGAACCCCGGGGCCAGGAGTGGGTGGGAACGAGGCCAGGCTTTTCACCTGGGCCCTTGGTCTTGCAGGAGGGGCCTCTGCCCCCTGGGTGGGATGTCACCTAGGGTAGAAATGGTGTTTCCTAGGTGTGGGGAGGTCCGGGGCCCAGCGCTCTTCCAGGACTCATATTGACTTTCATCCCCTCAGTGAAACATGCCCGAGACTAGTGAACAACAGGTGAGCACTGGGGAGGCCCTGGGGGGCATGCACTGTCCCAGGGGAGGAACTTGTGGGGGCACACTGTCACAGGGGAGGCCTGGGGAGGTGCTGTCTTAGCGGAGGCCTTCAAGGGGGGGTGCTGTTCCAGGGAGGCCCCGTGGGGGGGGGCTGTCCCAGGGGAGGTCCTTGAGGGGCCGCGCTGTCCCAGCGACAGGGGGGTCACTGTTCCAGGGGAGGCCCTCGAGGGGGGCGCTGTAGGGGAGGCCCTGTGGGTGGGGGTGGTGCTGTCCCAGGAGAGGCCTTGGGGGAGCACAGTTCCACATGCTGGCCTGCTCCGGGGGGTGGTTAGAGCCCCACCAGCCTGTGCTGACCCGGGCCCTGTCATGCAGGTTGGTGGAGAATTTTGGAGTCCAGGAAGACCGCATGGACCTGCATCCAGTATATGTGGAGTCCCAGCTCTTGGACGCTGACCTGGAGGTCTCCGTGATGCCCCCACTGGAGGATGAGAGTTTCGTGGCCATCCCCATGGAGGCTACCCCAGAGGAGCCACCCCCACCCCCACCCCTACCACCTGAGTAGGGCTGAGGAAGCCGGTGGGGAGAGGAAATAAACCGTATTTAGAGGTTGTGCACTGTCCTCCCTGCAGACTCTCACACCCCTCAAGGCTGCATTGTTGGGCGTGCACTCGCCTATGGGTCTCATCAAAGCGGGCACCCAGGCCCACACCGGGTTCCGCGTTCTCTGCCCCAGGGCAGTAAACCACACCCCTAATGTGTTTCTACCTTCTCTGCCACAGCTGGTCAGCCCAGCTCCTCCCTGAACCTCGTGCTTTTGAAAGCTCCTAGAACAGGACCTGCAGGTGGTACCTGCAGCAGGGATGAGCAGAAGGGAAAAGCATGTGAGACCCAGGCTGCAACTGGCAGCTCCGGAGGCAGCTGGGTTTAACAGGACTTGGGCTGATGCCCCTCCCCCACTCCACTGGCAGCACCCCAGACGGTCCAGAAAAGTCCTGAGGGGGAAGGGTGGAGCTGGCATCCTCTCCTGCCTGGGTGTGCTGTCTCCCTACACCACAAGGCCCATGTTCAGTTCAGGCCTCATCCACCACGGGAACGGACCGTCCCTGCGTGAAGCCACTCAGCACGTGCACACTGGGCTCACTTTGCTGATCCTGAGGGGGGCCAAGGCCAGTGAGGAGCAGGACCTCTGGGCTGCGTTGCGTATGGGCGCCGGTCGCAGCCGTGAGGTCGGCGGGGGCAGGTGGGCGGCGTCCTACTGCTCAGGGCTCGGCGGGCGCCTGGTGGTGAACCAGTCGGGGTGAGGTGGTCCCGATAGTGCTGTGGCCGGCGCTGTGCCCAGAGCAGTCTGGAGCTCCGGGACAGGTGGCCGGCGGTGCCGGGCGTTGGCCGTTTGCCCCGCCCCAAGCGTGGATCCAGCTGTGGGACAGGAACTGCCTGCACTCGCGCCAGAGAACATTTGTGCAGGCGCCGCAGGAACGCGCTTAGTGGACTATAGGCTCCGGGGACGCACAGGCAGCGGGCCGCCCACACAGGTACTGGGGGCTGCCCCTATGCGGAGTTCCTCCTGGTCGCGGCCTTGGCCGCAGACGCCAACGCTGCTGCCGCTGCTGCTGCTGCTGCCGCCGCTGTCGCCTTGGCCTGTCTGGGCACAG